ATTGGCAATCAAAGTCTGCGAAATAGGAACCTCAGATACAACACCAGTAGCTCTGACTGCTCCCTGTATTAACTGCAGAAATTGTCTACCAAAATTCTCATCCAAAGCAACTCCGGTAGACTCTGACTCAATATCGGTCACTCCTATTATCGGTGTAGTCATGCCAATACCAGCGGCAGGAGGCAGATCCGTTGGGGTCGTAGGAGCATGATCACCTATCGGAGGTGGGGGATCTACCCGTATCTCATCGATCGGATCTGCGAATCTAGCCACTCGACCTCGTCCACGGCTAGTTCGACGACCACGTCTAGCACTCATTTTGATGGATCTCAAGTTTACTACAGAAGATAAAACTTAGGGTTAGATAAGCACTTGGAGTCTCAAACATAGTTAAAATCTTAATAACTTTGTGACATGGCCTTAGTAACTCATTTTGTAAAATATTTCAAAACCGTATTTTCAATGTGGACTCATACACAGTCTGAGGGTTAAAACCAAAAGCTCTGATACCAATAAATGTAACCCCCTAGACCCGGCCTATGCATTTTGACTAAGTCTAGTGGATCACATTATGATTATTAAAGACATTTTCCGAAATCGTTATTCTATCAATATAAAATCACATTATAAATAATATGAAATTATAAACAAATTATAATATCAAAATCCAACTCGTAAATATAGTACCAATAAATAATAATTTTAATTTAAAACATGTCTTCAAATTCAAAATCACAATAAACCGAGCAGTACTAGCAAAAGAGTCATCATTATAAAATCCGATATTTAAAATAAGGTCCATGTCACCAAAATAAAGTCAACTTGCAAGATAAAAAACATTACAATCTGATTTACTTCAAGAGATATGTTGATCCTCCAAGTGCTCGAACTGAGGTATCTAACCAACAGTATCTGAAAAGGGGAAAACATTTTCAAAAGGCGAGCTAGGCTCAGTGTGTCCCAACATTTCCATAAAATGTCAATAGGTACAAATCATAGTCCAGTAATCTAACAAATTCGTAAAAGAGTTTAACTTTTGAAAATCATAGTTTAAACCCTTTTCTGGTACACCATCAGTAGTTCTCAAAATTATTTTCCATATAGCTTACTTTATGCACATAGCAAAAAGAAAGCCGACTTAAGGATAGGCTCTGAAGCTTGTATCCTTAAGCCCAAGTCAATAAGTCCATATAGCTTACCCAAAGCACACAGCAAAGGAAAGCCGACCTAATGAAACATCTTGGGGCCCTCAAGAGTCACATTAGGCCCATTTAGCTTGATCAGAGCTATTCCATCGTAATTCAATTCCAAAATTCAATTGCACCGTGACATAAATTCCATAAATCCAAAAACATGGTAATCATATACCATTTCAAAACAAAAATTAGATAGCAGCCATATTCCATAAATTGTCACATTAAATTGGTGCATCCATAAAACAATAACCAATGAATTCGGTGTACCATATATTAAAACCAATAAAACAGTTCAGTAATAAGTAGGGAACACACCTCGACAATAGGTTCAAATAACAAATCTACTGATTGCTGGTTTTACCACGCTCTGCTACAGTTTTCGAACGCGTGAATAATGGCACACGTGGTTTAACTGATCTAGAAGAGCTGGGTCGAGTTGTCGAACGATCCGGAGAGTCTCTTGTACCTTCAAACAATAATAATCTATCAGTCCCAAATCCTATTTAATTGTTCAAAACTAGACTTCTTAAGTATATAAGCATTTTTCGGGTTTGACTATCAATTTGAGGTATTTCGAGTCTGAATTTGGCCAAACGAATTGCGGAATCGGAATCAGGACGTCGAAAAACATAAAGTATGACTTTTCGAAAATTCAGATTCTTGGTCAAAGTCAAAGTCAACTACTTTGACCGTCGATTTGGAGTCCTTCGGGTTCGAATTTGACGAAACGGACAGCGGAAACGGATTTGGCACGTCGAAAACTATCATGATAGGTATTCGTTTAATGCTCGGTCAAAGCAATTTTAAGTTTTGGTCAAAAAAAGTCAACGGTCAACGGTCCGGTCGGGTCGGGTCGGTCGGTCGGGTCAGACCGATCAAACCGGTTCAGACCGGTCAAACCGGTTCGAACCGGTTGAAACCGGTCAAACCGGTCAGAACCGTTTGAAAACCGGTTAAACCGGTTTCCAGCAGCCACTCGCCCTGCGGCGGCGCGTGTGGCGCGTGAGGCGTCCTCCGGGGCCCTAAAAATCCCGGAAAAATTTTTAAAAATTATTTTGAACGATTTCGAGATACTTACAACGATCGGTTCAAATTTTTGAACGGCGGAGAGCTCGATTTCAAATCGGCCGAATATTTGACTGCACCACCTCCTCACGCGCCGCCGTCTACGGCGGACAAGGTTGACACCGGTGAACTCGGAACGGCACAAGGAACACGATGGTGCGGGAGGTGTCGTAAATGGAGCAACGATCAGCGGTGAATTTAAGATTTTCTCGGCGATAGAGCTAACAAAACCGTCGCTACTTTGACTGGAAATTCCCGACGTTTGGCCGCGTTTCGCTTCAATTAATTTGAAGGGTTTGTTCCTCGCTCGATGATGAACACAACGGTGGTTTCAAAACAACGATCGGAATTCGGACGGCGTCGGAATCGAGTTTGGAAGTTGTGTGCGTGAGGAAAGATTTGTGAAATTGATTTCTGTTTTTCAAAATAGAAATCACGCATATAACAATTGCCTGCCGACACTCCAAGGTTAAATTCAGGGTTTGGTCCCTGAATTTTCTTTAACTTTAAAACAAGCTCCAAGTTTTAAAATCTTTCAATTCAGTCCCAAATTTTCGCAAAATTTTCACAATTAAACCCTCCAATTTCAATTAAATATTATTTTGAAAATCGGGTTGTTACACACGCGATTCTAATGGTCGATCGACTGTCGATCAATCACGATTTCATGGGAGTTTTGGTCGCCGAGGGGAGGGGAGATCGAGTAGAGTTTCATTGATGGAAAAGACTGACATGGGTTTAGGGGTTGAAATGAAGGTTTTCAAAGCTTTGGGTTTATTTCAAAATTTGTGTATTTTTTTAAAATATGTATATAATTTTAATTTTTTAATTTTAAATAAAATTTTTAAATTACAGGTTTTCACATGTGTCACTTAATGGTGAAATTTAACAATATGTCACAATTTGACCCATTTTGAATAACGGAATGAAATGTTAGGCTCTAAGCTGAAACGAAATAAACATTAGGCACTAAACTAGAAAAATGACATAAATTGAACACCTTTTGTATATTTAAGCCTTATTTTTTTTATTTGGTTATCATGTTTTGTTTTGTCAATATATTTATTATCAGCATGTTAGTGTTTTAAAGTTATTAGCTAAGGTTTTTAATGCATATATATTTATATATTATTAGCATTTTGGTGTTTTGTTAATATATTTGTTTTCATAAATTCGGATTAATGATATTTTATATATGCAAGTCATTTTAACTATTTTTTTTATAAAAGGTAATATAATATACTATTTTATTATTATATATATATTTTTTAAATGAATGCTATGTAAATATATTTGTTCGTACATATAGGTATAAACATTCTTTTATGTAATTTGCATGATACCCTCATAAGCATTTATTGACTCGATCAAAATAATTGGATTAAGGGTAATATCCTTTCATTTTAAAATTATAGTGAAGTGATTGTCTTAACGTATAAGAAGACAACTTCCCATGATTTTAAAATAAAAGGGTATCATATTAAGTGTAATCCTAAAAATTGATTTCATTTAAAATTTGGGACTGAGAAAAATATTATGTTCTTTTAATTAAATTCATCAAGAAAAGACTGTTAGATTGGATGTAAGGTCTGGTCTTGATGTCTTTAAATGATTGAACATCCTTATTCTCATTAAAGGTTGATAAAATAAATAATTAATTGTATTCATTTGATGTATGCATTTAAATTTCGTCTTACTTTGTATGTATTTAAAAGGTGTCTCAAAATAAGTTATATTCGAACATATAAGCTTTATTGCAAGAACAACTATTTAATTAATTAGGTACCGATTTAGTATGTTTTGAGAATGTTAATCTTTCCCTATGTGTAACCGACTCCAGAACTTAAGTTTTTGGTAGCGCATACCGTAAAATTGTTGTTTTATTTAAAGTTAATATTTTATTAAAATGAAAAATATATTTTTAGGTATTCAATCACACCCTAATAAAAAATTGATGGCGACTCCATGAATCGATTTTTATTGTTTTTAAACTCTAGTCCTAAATTATTTGAGGCGAACATTTTTAAAATCTAATTTTTAATCGACAGATTTGAAAAAGAACATCTCGTCAAGAGGAGAATGCCCGATAACATATTTTATGATATTTGATAAAATTCTAAGCAGAAGATTTTAGTCAAATCAATTTTGGGGACCATAAAGACAATTCGTAAAATTTTACAAACTGACATGAATTTTTTTACAAATTGGTAAGAGTTAAGAATGGGTATGAAAATGAGTCTCATAACCATATCAAGATATAACAAAACCTTAGGATCCTATTCTATAAGCAGATACAGCCCGATGTACGTACTCCATAAATGCATGAGATTATGAATCTTTTTTCCAATTGAGTCATGTCCAGTGAATCTTAAAATGAATATGTACCAACTTCACTCCTTGATTCCATTCTCTCATGATTGATAGCGGTGCAAAAAACACATAAAATCTTTATTCTCAAACCTTGTTTAATTCTTTTGATTTCATTTTTTCTCAAATAATTTAGAAATCAAATTAAATATTATTGTCTGTTAATGTGTGATATTCATCGATTTCAGAAGACTAACGATGAAATGACTATTTTGTTCTAAATTGATCATGTTAATGACTGAAATATAAGTTTTTAAAATTAAATGGTTATAAAGGAAAGATACATAAAATATAGTGACATGGAGGTGTAGTTTACTCATTTTGTCCCTTATCTTTCTCCAGGCTCCTGCGGGATCATATCTCTGGCTGCTGAACACTGGAATCCATTACTGAAACATTGAGTTGAGATGCAGAGTAGTATGGAAGACGATCTGCAACCTCTATATTTCTATGGTCATCCCCTAGTCCTCAACCACCACCCCAACAACATAAGCGAAAAAACTCACTGCTCAGCTTGTGGGGATCCATTATTCTCCACCCAAACCTCTACTCCGCCGCCTCTTCCTACGCTTCCTCCGCCTCCGCCGCCAGTTACTACGCTTCATCCGCCTCCGGTGCGTATTAATACGTTTCCTCCGCCTTCGGTGCGTATTACTACGTTTCATCCGCCTCCGCCGCCTCTTCCTACGCTTCATCCGCCTCCACCGCCTCTTCCTATGCTTCCTCTGCCTCCGAATCCTCCGCCCCCTTCTGACGAGACGTATTATTATTTTTTCCCCACTAGTAGAGAGGAACGTGATGATGAATTTGATCCTACGCCTCTTCCTCCTCCTATTCCGTCTTTTGACCCTCCGCCCCGCCGGCGGCATTTTGGTCGTAACACCTTTAGTTGCGAGGAATGCGATCAGTTTCATCTCCATGAATCTTGTGCAATGGCGCCTGTAGAATTTTCCCATCACCCTCTTCATTGGGAACACCCTTTCCTTCTTCTTCGAGAAGATCCGGGTTCTTCTTGTGATTTATGCTTGGAATCGGGTAAGCATTTCATCTACCGATGCCCTTCTTGTGATTTCTCCCTTGATTTCAAATGTGCATTACTGTCTCATGGTCAAAAGTTTCTTGAATTCAAATACAATCTCCACCGTCATCCATTGCTCTTCATCGAGGATCATAGGGATGTACTGAAAAAATTTGTTTGCTCCGCATGTGAGGAACCTTTGGTAGATTCCGTATATGTTTGCATTGATTGCAGATTTTATGTTCATGAGAAATGTGCTGAATTACCCAATGTAATCAATCATCCATGTCACCGGTTACACCCTCTGGTTCTTAGTGGCAATTCAACTAGATTTTGTAAGCTTTGCCAAGCCGAACATCGTGGACACTTTTATCGCTGTTCCCCTTGCGATTTGGACATTCATGTCGGATGCGCTTGGCCTCATCCTGTTATTGAAGATAAAAGTCGCCATGAACACCCATTCAATTTGTTTTGGAGACAAGGATCGTTCATTTGCGACGCATGCGGCACCGAGGGTAACAATCTTTGCTATATATGTTCCGTATGCTATCTCCAAGTTCATAAGAAGTGCACTTCTGTGCCGCCCGTCATCAAAATCTCACGACACAACCACTGTGTTTTTCACAAGTATCTGAAGCAAGAAACGATGGTGGGAAAGGAAGAGTGCAGGATTTGTCATCATGAAGTGAAAATGGAGTATGGGTGTTATTGTTGCTTGAGGGAGGATTGCAATTACTTTGCTCATGTGAATTGTGCTACTGAGGATACGGATCTGTACTACATAGTTGATTCAGAAAATCTAGACAAGTTGGATGAAGAACCTATCGAATCTGCAATCACTTGTGTTATTGAGTGGAACGAAAACGGAGATGCAACGAAGATAATACATTTCAGCCACGAGCATTGCTTAGTATTAGAAGACATTATAGAGGAGGATGACAAACATTGTGATGGATGCACGCTGTCGATCTTGGGTTCATTTTACTCTTGTTTGGGATGCAACTTCCTTCTCCACAAATCTTGTGCCGAATTACCTATGAAGAAGCACCATTGGTTTGACATACACTTGCTAAACCTCGAATCCAATTGCATTTTCACATGTGATATCTGTCTTCAACAATGCTGTGGTTTCGTCTACAACTGTGACGAATGCGAGCTCTCATTTTGTCTTAAATGTGCTACGATCCCTGATACCCTTGATCACCCAAGCCATGAACATCCTCTCTTCTGGGATTCCAAATATAAAGGGCGTTGCAATATTTGTGGTCTATGGGTCTACAATGCATACAGATGCAAGAGTTGTAAGTATGCTGTGCATTTCGAATGCATTACGCTTCCGGACATAGTGCGACACAAGTGTGACAAACACTTTCTGAAACTTTGTTACCGTGACAAAAGCAATGATCCGGAACAACACTTTTGTGATGTCTGTGAAGAAATGAGAGATCCCAATGATTGGTTTTATCATTGCTTCACGTGCGATACTTCTGTTCATCGAAGATGTGCTCTCGGAAAATATCCATTCGTTAAGGCCGGGATCACGTACATGCACGAGGGTCACTCACACCCCCTCAGGTTTGTTAGAAAGAAGTATTATTACTCGAGATGCGTTATATGTGGTGAGTTTTGCTATGATTTAGCTCTTGAGTGTGATATATGCGACTATATTGTCCATTGGAATTGTATGTCGCCGTTCTCCTCCCCACTTGATACATTACAATGGGAACACTATCATAGAGCATAGAACTCTGCTGTTAGTGGCAGTTAGCTTGATAGGGACCAAGGATGTTGTCAAACGAACTACAACTTATGTATTTGTTTTTAATTTGATTAATTCAGGTGCAGTTTCTTTGTTTTGCTAAGGTATACGTTTGTTGCATTCATTTTTCTTGATATATGTTCGTAAAAATAAATCTAACTGTCTCGCTATGTTCGATTATGATTTGTGATTGTCGATAATCTTTCAGTAGTTTAATCTCCTGTTGTAATTCTTTTGTCTGTGTAATCAAATTTGTTCATATGTCCTTTGTTCGAATTTTTTGGATGAGTTTTAACCTTTTCTTTATATGGTCCTTGTATGATATCAAATGATATCAAATGACTAATTTATTCAATTGGTCTAAGAATTACCGTTGATCCCCTCCGGTTTACTCTCTAAACTCTTAAAAAAAAAAAATTCTTTTCTATCATTTTCATTTTTCTTTTGTTTGATCTATTTTCTTTTTCATATTTATTCATAATCTATTCTGATCTGATCAACATTGACAGTTGATGATTCATCTATTAACAATTTATACTTCGAATATTAACGCCGGCAATAGTTTTCCTTCCGCCATTGACATTTTTGCATTTCAATTTTTTTAAAGAATCATTTTAGTCCTTAAATTTTTTGACTTTGACTTTGACCTTGACCTTTTATATTTATTATTTTTAATCAAATTTTCATATATATATATATATATATATATATATATATTTATCTTTCATAATTATGATAATTTATTTTTTTTACAATGTTTTACTTTTTTTTCATTTTAAATATTATTTTTTATTGCAAAATGGTATAATAACTTACATAAACATTCACAAAACAAGATGATTGCCATCAATTTAATAAAAAAATATTGTGGTTTGATTTAATTTAATAAATTTTTAAAAGGAAAATTTTACGACGCTCGACGAGTACCGGTGAACACTACTAACAATGAGTACAACTAAACACCATTAATTTAATTTATAAAAATTTAAAATTCTAAAGGTCTCAATATATAATTATAAATTAGCTAAAAATCTAAAGGTAAATTGTTTAAAATAAAATATTAATTATGTTACTTTTATAATTTTTTTAGCAATAATTGGATCAAATATCAACCTCTAAAAATATTAATTTAGGATTGGTATTTGATCCGATTATTGTTAAAAAGATTATGGAAAATATTGTAATTAATATTTTATTTTAAATAATTTACCTTTATATTTTTAACTAATTTATAAGTATACGTCGAGTCCTTTAGAATTTTAAATTTTTATAAATTAAATTAATGATGTTCATCGTTAATGGTGTTCAACGGTACTCGTCGAACGTGATAGACTCGTCCTTTTTAAAAATACAAACAAAAATACTTTTTTTTAAGTATTAGGGCCGAAATATCAGTAGGCCTTGTTTTATTACCGTATTTCAAAATTCATTAGGACGAAAATAATCGCCATTAATCCCCTCCACTAATGGCCTAAGATAATTTTATCATTAGTTTATTATGTTGTTAAAATAATTTTGTCTCAAGTAGAATGATTAAATTAAATTATTTCTCAATGTATTTCAGTTATTATTAATTAGGATAATAGTTTAAATAATTTCATGAATGATGCCAATTTAGATTTAATTAAAATTTAAAAACCATTTTAAAATCTAAACAAAATTGTGTATACCTAGTACATTTAACTCATAATATGTTTACAAGTATAAAACTAAATTCAAATCCACATATAATATACGCATGAGACTCGAATATGAAATTTTAAAATTATTAAAATCTCACTTTTAATTTTAAGAGAACTACTGTATTTGTAAATTTGACAAAATAAAAAAGAAAAATATATCCACAGAGGACCTCAGCACTTGTTCAACCAATTGGACCGTCTCTCATTATCTAGGCTTTTGACATTATCTGCCCACTTGTGAGGTATAGTATTGACTTCATCATATGGGTCCCTGTTTTTTTAATAGAATCTTTGCTACTTGGGTCTAGAATATTTTTGAATGGTTTTCTATTATCCTACGTGGATTTAGATTGAATCATGTCACTTTTGTAGTGAATTTTTTTATTCTTCTATAGTTTTTTGGTACATTAACAAAATTATAGGTTGTCTAAATTAAAAATTATGTTTCACAATTTCAAATATTACAAAGTATTTTAATATATATATATATATCGTAATTAATTTAAATAAAATTAATAAATAATGATAATTAATTGAATAATAATCTGAGTCGGACTAAATTAATTTATAATCAAATTTATAATATGATCTTTGACCTAGTTTAGATCAAACAGGTTTAAATATTTGAATTTGGACAGGGCTAAAGGAATTTACCTGATTTTATAATATTTTGTTTTATTATTTTCTTTTATTTTATTGTTAGTATTTTTTGTATATATATGGTTACTATCCACTTACACTTATTGTAAAAATAAGAGTTTTACACATTTTTATGACTGTTGGATGAGAGAAATCAAATGATAAGATTAAGTTATTTTTTTCGGTTAATATTTTTCATTTTCTATTGTTAATCTTAATCATTGATTCCCCTCATCTAATGGTCCTAAAATAATGTAAAACCGAGTTAACTCTTTTTTTTCCTGTGACTATTTTCTCATTTCAAATTGTTAGTCTCGAGTTTTAATTTCTAGAATTATATATATAAAGCATGTGAATCTTTTCTATACGCGCGTAGTAGATATGCCCTACTTTGGTTCAATTTCATGCCAAAACTTTGATATCCTTTTCACACTAGTATATACAAAATTTTATATTAGAAGAAATGGTCTTATAAAATTTTAAAAGAATAGATTTGTAAAAATTTAGAGGACAAAAATAAATTATTAATAAAAATATTTAAATTATATGAAAACTTAAAATTTTTAGGGAAGCGTCCAGCCCTCAGTTTTCCTTAATCCATCCTTGTCTGACCCTACATTAGGGTTATTTGATACGTATTTTCATATTTGAAACCCCAATATGCAAGTTAAGAGTCTGCACTTTATTAACTGCTACTTGTATAAGCCCTTCCCTTGGGAAGCTATTTTTTAAAAAGTTAAATTAGTTCTTGTACTATGTACATGTAATGTATTTAATTTATAATTTTAATTTATTTAAATTGAATTACGTATTTTTCAAGTTTTAAAACTTTACTTTTGGCATAAAAATATTATTAAATTATAAAGATTTGAAAATTATGAAATTGAAAATATGAACCACATTTATAACTTATACGTAATATAAAAATTATTACAAATTTTAACTTAAAAATTTTAATGATTACCATATGAATTAACTCTAAAATTTCAATTTTTGAAAAATATTATTTAGAAACAAAAAAGCTACGAGATCCAATCTGCAAATAGAACGATAACCTACTGCATGGCTGAATCGGATTTGATTAGCTATAAAGGGATAGAAGCATCTTATGGTATAGAAAATAGAATGAAAACCAACTAGATCCAATCTGCAAATAAAAAGCTACCTTTCTAATAAGAAACGTTTCTAAAGCATTGTTCAAGAAAACTATAGATATATAAAGCTACATCTCATAGACAAAACCACGTAATACAAAAAAAATACTTAGTCATGCTTAATTAATATCTCATTATCCCTATATTTTAGTCTAATTTTCAGTTTATTTTTATATATTTTTTCTCAGTTATCGTTTGTAATATTATTTTCTTCTCTCTTCTTAGGTATTCTTTGTAGGAGTGTACAAATTAACATGTAATCATTAAATGTAACTGTTATTCAATATATTCATTGTATTTTATAAGTTAATTAATTGAATTATTAATACTAAATAATTTTGATTAATCATACTAATAGTTAATGATTACAATTACGGTTACATATTTTAAAAAATGATTATCAGGTGGTTAACCATTATTAAATCATAAATATACATTCTAAGAAAAAATAGTGGTATAACTGTTGTTTTATGTTTATGAAAGAGTTATCTTTGAAACTTTGATCGTGTAATGGACTATTGTTATGTGTCGGACTTTGAAGTATGATTAATGATGATGTATGTTGTGTTATAAATTTAAACTAATGCAATAATGTATAGTATGTAGTACTAGATGTACTAATTACAATGTAGTATCAATATGTACTTTTCTTCTTTCTTTCAAACTAATTATGAAGTTTGTGTTTAGAATCTATTTATCTAAATATTTCTAATTTTAATATAATATTTATTGAAATGGTAGTTTTATTATGCTCGAAAGAAGCATTGAATATGTATAAAAGAAATTTGTAATATGTTACATGTTAATTTGTAACCGAATTGTTAATAACAGCTAACTATTAGTGATTAACTGATTTTTAACGGTTAGATTACGATTAGTAGAACCCTTGAGTGACCTCAATGGGTAATGGAAGTGTTGTTCGTTCTCTATAGATGTTCTAAGTTCGAGCACTATATATGTAGGGTGTGTGTATGTTGTTAATGGCTAAGAAATATTATGAACAAATACTAACTTGTAATTACCTCAAACTATTAAAAAATTACGATTAGCATAATTTAGAAACCGCTATAACGGTTAATTGAACCGTTTAGGTTAAACGACACGGTCAACTGGCTGTGAACACTCCTTGAAAATACAATGCAATATTTGTTCAAATACTCTCAATCAATTTGGTAATGACCGCTCATATCCTTGTATATGTAATGCTCGAATCTGTTACCTCAAGAGATGATAATAAATCGTTAACCACTGAGATTGCTTGATTCATGCTTTAAACATGACTTAAATAAACAATTATGTCAAAATTTATAAAATATAAATAATCAATTTATTGAAATTCATATTCAAATATAAAATATCTAAAAATTATTTTAAAATATAAAAAAATAAAAAATATGTTTTATCTTATGTTTGGCAAGAATAGAAATTATTTGAAATCATCATTTTTTATTTATTATTATTATTGTTATTATTATTATTATTATTATTATTATTATTTATTATATTAAAAAAAATACATAAAAAGCCAAAAAAAAGGAAAAATACGAAATATATAAAAAAGGGGAAATAATCCCGTAAAATATAATACCCATTGCTGCCACCTCTGACCGATCAACACCTGAATCACC